GTCTGCAGCTTCATACTACTCAGATATGGGAAGTTGGCAAGTGGTATTAGAACTATTCCACTGAGATGCAGAAATGAAGCTTTGAAGCACGTAATGTCTTTTAGGAGGCAAGTGTTTATGTTTTTGAATCAGCCGGAGCTGGATGTATCGTTTAGAGTTGCCCACGAGGGAAAAACGTATGTAGTTTATGCCAATACGGGTAGCATGAAATGCTTTGAGTGTGGGGATATTGGCCATAAGCGGATGGCGTGCCCTCATAAGGCCCAGGATAGGCAGGAGGAGGTAGCTGAAGCTGAAGCTGTTGTTGGTGAGGATGTTCAGGGAGACAAGGAAGATGTCCATGTTAATACTGATGAGACAAATGATGAGAGAGTGCCTCCGATTACAGTGGAAAGGAACGTTGTTAATGCTGTTTTGATTGAAAGTAATTTTCAGAAAAATGGTGTTGATGAAAACGAGATTTCTATTGGACAAGAAGAGGTGTCTAAAATAGGAGAAAGTAGTGTAATGATGACTGAGGATGTTAACAAAGGAAAAATGAATGTTGAAATGGTTCAAACTGATGATTCTTGAAGTATCTAGAAGTGTTGACATGTGCAATGATTCTGAAATGGGAGATGATGATAATTTCTCTGAAATGTCAGATATTGGTTCACAAATCATGGAGGATACTACACTTGAAGAAATTAATAACTTTTTAGATGCGACTTTTGGAAAGACTGTGGAAGTCAAAGATTTCTTCCCAGACATAGGGAAATTTATAGCGTCAGTGACTTTGTTGCAAAGAAACGTTAGTCTTGATGATCTTAGTAAGCAGAAAAGATTTCGGTTAAGAAAGATCCTAACGAAGTTAAGAAAGAGCAAAGCAAACGCTTCACAAAATGATTAAAACACACAGGGTGTTGGCTATCTATTTTCTCACTCTATTCCTGTCCCTTTTACATCTTTCCCTTTTTATGGAGTTTTTGAGAGCAGGCTCCTTAAATATAAATGGGGGGAGGGATGGAAATAAGATGGCAATGGTGTCAGAATTATGTAGAATTAAGAAGGTGGATATTATTTTTTTACAAGAGACACATTCCAATACAGATAATGAGTCGGAATGGGATAGATGGTGGGAAGGGAAATGTGTACTAAGCCATGGGACGAATTTGAGTTCTGGTGTAGCCATTTTGTTCTCAAAAAATATAAATGTGAATATTTTAGACGTAGATGAAGTTGTAAAGGGAAGAGTATTATTAATTCATATAGAATTTAAGGGAACTGTGTTTGTGCTTATAAATGTTTATGCACCAAATATTGGGCCAGAGCGGGTGGAGGTTTTTATGAAACTAAAAAATGCTGTTCAAAAAATTGGACATCAAGTGTGTGTTATCATTGGAGGGGACTGGAATTGGTCGATTTTACAATTGATAGGAATGGGGAGGAACCTCATTATGAGTCTAGTGTGGTATTATTAAAAATTATAAAAGAGCTTAATTTAATTGATATTTGGAGGAAAAGAAATATAGGAATCAGACAATATACATGGGTCAAAACATCGGAGAATAGGATAAGTGGGGCAAGAATTGACAGATTTTATATTGATAGAGGATGGAATAATAAGGTGATGAATACTGCTATTTACCTGTTGGTTTTCAGATCACCACTTGGTTTTATTTGATTAAAAAAATGAAGGCAACTACAAAAGCCAAATTATTTTTGGCACTTTAATGTTAAATTATTAGAAGATGCTTTATTTTGTGATAGTTTTAAATTATTCTGGAATAAATGGAAAATGCAGAAAGATTCTTTTGAAAACATGTGTCAGTGGTGGATGTTGGCAAAGTACAAGTAAGAATATTTGTCAAAAATATAGTTCACATAATACAGCAAGAGTGAAGTTGCAGTAAAAAGCTTGGAGAAAAGACATTCAAAAATGGAAAGTACTATTTTTATAACAATGAACCTGAGCAGACTGAGCTGTTAAATAAGAAAAAGAAAGAACTTGGCTCGTTATTACAGCAACAAGTGAAAGGAGCAATCGTAAGGGCGAGAATCTGTTCTATTAAAGACATGGACGCTCCTACTTCATTCTTTTTCAACCTGAAAAAAAAAGTTTCCAACAAAAACAATTATATCATCTTCAACGGCCTGATGGGACTATAACGTCAGATCCGGTGGAAATGAAGAAACTGGCTGTTGACTTTTACAAAAAAACTGTATGATGCTGAGAGCTGTGATGTTGAGAGTGCTCCTGATTTGCTGAGTGATTTACCTCAGATGGAAGATGAGGGGAGAAGATCACTGGACAGTCAAATAACTTTTCAGGAGATTACAGAAGCAATGAAACAGTTATCAAGAGGACGTTCTCCGGGAATTGATGGACTGCCAGTTGAGTTTTACCAAGCTTTTTGGAATATTTTAGGACAAGATCTGTATGAAGTACTAATTCAAAGCATCAGAAGTGGAACTCTTCCTGTAAGCTGCCGGAGAGCTGTACTGTCTTTGCTTCCCAAAAAAGGAAATCTAGGTCTTTTAAAGAATTGGAGACCAGTTTCTCTATTGTGTTTGGACTACAAAATACTGTCAAAGTGTCTAGCAAATAGGTTAAAATGTTATTTGGAGTTACTGATTCGAAATGATCAGACATATTGTATTCCCAAAAGGTCAATTATGGATAATCTATTTTTATTAAGGGATGTAATTGATTTTAACCAATTTAACAATTTAAACCTGGGTATTCTTTGTTTGGACCAAGAGAAAGCATTCGATCGGGTTGACCATGTGTATCTTCTTAAAGTTTTAAAACAATTTGGATTTGGAGATAATTTTATATCTTATATTAAGTTGTTATATTCAAATGTTTTTGTGATGGTTAAAGCTGGTGGAGGACTAAGTGCACCAATACCGGTATCAAGGGGTATTAGGCAGGGTTGCCCTCTTTCTGGACAATTGTACAGTCTCGCTATTGAGCCATTGTTGTGTAGGATAAGGAGAGAACTGAATGGAGTTTTACTTCCTGGTATTAATGGTAGTAGGGTGTCATTGTCTGCTTATGCGGACGATATCACAGTCTTTATCACAAGTCAAAATGATGTTGATATTTTAACGGAAATTATTCAAAAATATGAGAGGGCATCTTCAGCAAAAATGAACTGGGGGAAAAGTGAAGGGCTTATTATTGGCCAGTGGGGAGTGTTGGGACCTCCAAAATTACCGGGTGGATTGCTGTGGGTAAGGGAAGGGTTGAAAATTTTAGGTGTTTTTTTAGGAAATGCAACATTTAAAGGGAAGAATTGGGAGGGAATGCTGGAAAAAGTGAATGCTAGGTTGTCTAAATGGAAATGTCTATTACCACAATTGTCGTACAGAGGAAGAGTTCTGGTGGTAAACAACCTGGCTGCATCTATCTTGTGGCATAGACTCATGGTACTGGAGCCACCTGATGAGTTGATCTGCAGGATACAAAGGACCTTTGTGAATTTCTTCTGGAGTGGAGAACACTGGATTCGCGCAGCAGCACTTTATCTTCCAGTTCAAGAAGGAGGCCAAAGTCTGGTGGATGTGAGGAGCAGAATCTGTGCCTTCAGAATCCAAGCAGCACAGAGATTTCTCTACCATAAGGACTTGGTTTGGTCTCAGACTGCGAAGGCATTTCTTCAAAAAGCTGGGGGTCTTGGATTAGACAAGAATTTATTTTTAATGAACCTGGAGAGGATAAACATGTCTGAGCTTTCGCATTTTTACCGGACACTTTTGCATTCATGGAGAACTGTTTTTAAATTTGAAAGAGAGGTTGATGAACCTGGGAACTGGGTCCTAGAGGAACCTTTATTTTTTAATCCAATGACTCAAACAAGACTTTTGTCTTCTGTAAGTGTAAGTTCATGCTTGCAGAGAAATGGAATTGTCAAGCTGGGACACCTCTTGAATAGAGATGGATGGAAGTCGTTGGAGGAACTTAAAAGATTGACTGGCTTGAGATCCTCACGTTTGACACAAAAGTTGATGGAGGAGATTGTCAATACCTTACCAAGTAGTTACAGAAAGTACATTGGGAGAGGAACTTTGATGGACATGACAAATGAACAGGAACTCCCAGGAATTAAAATCTCTCATCTTGTAAAGACAGAAAATGAAGATGAAGATGTGGGGTCAATTCTATCTTTTAGAACCCCGCAGCTGCATTATTTTGTGGCTGCATCGAAAAAAGCAATATATATCTCCACAGTTAAAGTTTTACACCAGGACTCTCTTAAAGGACAAAAAATCTCCAAGTGGCCAGGTTTGTTGAAGCCGGACTTCCTCGTGAGGGACAGGTGGAGAGCCCTGTATAAGCCTCCCATAGAGAAGCGTACCGCTGATCTGCAGTGGAGGCTTATCCACGGGGCGATAGCTACAGACAGACACGTGGCGCACTTGAATCCAGCAGTGGGGGGACAGTGTAGGTTTTGTGGGATGGTAGAAAATTTGGAACATTTGTTTTTAAGATGTAATAGGCTGAAAGGTCTTTTTAATCTCCTTGATAGATGGTTTCAAGCATTTGATGAAAAATTCTTAGAAGAAGTATTTATTGGGGGTGTGATGTACAGATTCTTAATCAGAAGGAAAGCATGTTTGTTAAATTACTTGATCGGAACGGCAAAATTAGCAATTTGGAAGACGAGAAAGAACGAAGGGCTGAATCTTCTTAGTACTGATGCTGAATTAATGTTCAAGAACCTTGTAGCTGGAAGGTTAAATATTGAGTTTGTATATTATAATCTCATAAAAAATGAGGGGCGTTTTGATGATATTTGGTGTTTTAATAATGTCTTGTGTGAAATTAATGAGGGACGGTTGGTTCTGAACTTTTAATTTGTTTTATTTTTTTGATTGAATATTTGATGATGTTGTGAACGTTTTTATGTTAATAATAAAGTATTGTTAAATCTCTCTCTCTCTCTCTCTTTCTCTCTCTCTCTCTCTCTCTCTCTCTCTCTCTCTCTCTCTGCTAATGTAGGTTAAGAGGCTGTGATATGACAGATGAAGGTTGTTCTGATGTGACTTCAGCTCTGAAATCAAACCCGTCACACCTGAGAGAGCTGGACCTGAGCTGGAATAAACTAGGAGACTCTGGAGTGAAAAACCTCAGTGATCTACTGATGAACCCACAATTCAAGCTGGAGAAACTACAGTTAGTGTCATTATACTGTACAGCAATTACAGCAGTGGCGGGCCGTGCATTTCACACTTAGGCCTTCTGTCCTACCTGAATTAATAACTTTTAATAGTTGTCAAGTTTCCCACTTTTTTATTCAGCTCTGCCCAAACTTGATAAGGCGTTCAAACATTGAAGGACGCAAGAGAAAGCAACTCATTGACTTGACTGTTTATTTTCTGGGATTGCAGAGGTATTTGCAGAAGCAGTAGTCAGCAATAGGTCAGAAATAGATCAGCAATAGATCTGCAACAGATCTGCAATAGGTCTGCAATAGGTCTGCAATAGGTTGATAATCAGTTGCTTCTTCAAGTTTGAATTAGTTTTAACTGAATGTGGGTGAAATTCATTGCAAGTCCAGCAAGAGATCTTCTCCAAACTTTTCACCTGCATGTGCTCTTGTGGTGCACCACTTTATTGTGCCCCCTTGGAAACAAACCCTCTCAATGGTTCCTGTCCAGTCACCACACTACACTGCCCTCTACAGGAATTTTTGAGTATGACAGAATTTAAAGAAAAACCTCATTGTTTTGACGAAACACCTCCCACTTGACCTCCTGGTTCATGAACCTAAGGAGGTCACTCCAATCACCTTCAACACTTTCACTTTTGTTCTTGATTTTGTTCTTCTAAAGGAAGCAAAACAATCAGTCGTCTTACATCCCTATGAAGGATTGTAGAAGGGATTTTGGTTGACAGTTTCTTCACTTTATCTCTTTGGACAGGCTTCACAGTTGGAACTGGATAGCTGGGAAAAGTTCTGACATGTACATCTCTGACGATGCCCTTCTTGTCAATACTGACACTGATGACTCTACCAAGTTTGTACTGGCCCCTCCAGGCATTTTGGTCAGCAAGCCAGACAACATCTCCAACAGTCACATTCCTATGGGTTGTGTGCCATTTACTTCTCACAAATAGATTGGGCCCAGCTAACTGACTCCACTTTCTCCAGAACCGGTCAACTTCTGTTTGGATAGCTCTCAACCTCTTGTATGGGTAGTTTTCAAAGTCAAAGCATCCAAAATCTCCTCTGGGTCCAGTTCGTCCAAGCAGAAGGGAGTTAGGGCTGACATATTCTATGCAGTCTTCCCGGCTTTGAGTTCTGGCATCTACAGGCCTTTCATTGGCCAGATTAGCAGCCATATATATAAATGTCTGAAACTCACTCCATGTAAAGAGTCCTTCTCCTCCTAGGTTGTGCAAAGCCCGCTTCACTGTGTGAACAGCTGCTTCTGCAGCTCCATTTCTGTGAGGGGAGTCTGCTGGGTGGATTTTCCAGCTCCATTCTGTTCCATGCAAGGAAGCTTCATTCTCAAGCTCAGACTTATTTAGTTGATCCAGGAAGAGATAGAGTTCTTTCAGTGCAGGTCTGGCACCCACAAAATTCTTTCCAGGATCTGACCACAGTTTCTTTGGGTGCCCTCTCAGTGCTGTGAATCTCTGGTAAGCCATTAGGAAGCCTTCAGTTGACTGGTCACTGACAACATCTGTGTGTATAGCTCTGGATGACATGCAACAGAAGACAATTCCCCACACCTTGAGCTTTGTTTTCTTCTTCACCTCGTCCTTGACTTCATACGGTCCAAACAAGTCCACCGTTGTATATTCAAATGGTCTGGCTGGTGTTATCCGCTCAGATGGAAGGTCACTCATGATCTGTTGGCACTTTCTGGCTCTAGCCTTTCTACACACAACACAGCTATCAACACTCTTTTTAGCCAGCTTTCGACCTTTCACTATCCAGGCTTTTTTCCTCATCCGGAGAAGTGTGCCGGCTATTTCTTCATGATTTTCACCATGAGCCTCTTGAGCTAGGAGAGTGGATATCCACGCATCATAGTGTAGAATGGGTACAGCAGTTTTGTCCTCATCAAAAGTCTGGAACCTTCCTCCACAAACTAAAAGCCCAGTCTCTTTCTCTTTATAAACAGCGAGTCTGTTGAGAGTGGTGTCTTGAAAGGTTATACCTTCTTGAGCTGCAAGGAACAGGTCTCTTAGTGCATCTCTACACTCCCCGACAGTGAGTACAGCTTGTTTGGCTCTGGACCTCCAGTTTGTTGAAAAAGCTCCCTCCCACTTTGGTTTATCTGAGGCTGAATTCTTGTTCAACAACTCTTTCCATCTTCTTGCAGCTCTCCAAACCCAGGCAATGACCCGGATCAGCCTGGTCAGATTGCTGAATTTCTTGATGTCAATCAGATTAGTTACTGCAGAGCTGCTTGGTAATCTTCGGATCTGAATCTTAGATTCATCTGGGTTAGCTTGCTGTACATCCCTCTTGTCTTTCTTGGCCTGCATTCTAGTCAGTGCTGCTGAGAAAGCTTTCCTCTGAAGTTTATTTATGCCTTCTTTGGCATACGTGGCGACTTCTTTGGCTGACTTATGTGGCCATTCTCCCACAGGTTGTCGCAGAAACGCTGGTCCATCCTGCCACATGGAACCTTCCTGGAGGTCTTCTGGGGCTGCCCCTCTTGTTATAGCATCAGCACTGTTCAGGTATCCCGGAATCCACCACCAGTCTTCGACTGATGTGGATTTTTGGATCTCCCCAACTCTATTTGCGAAAAAAGTTTGATATCCATAGCTGTCTCTCTGGATTGCTCCCAGCACAGTTTGACTATCCAGCAGATGGAGCCATCGTTCAACTTCTATTCGACTGTGCTTCTCAACATAATTTCTCAGTCGTGCTGCATAGACAGCGCCACAGATTTCAGCTTTTACTGGTTCTCCCTTTTGGTCCAATGGTGTGAGTTTTGCCTTAGACTCAACCAATCTGACTTGGATGCCTTGCTCAGTCTCCCATCTGAAATACACTACGGCTCCATAGCTCTTGTCACTTCCATCAGAGAATGTTATTCCCCAAGGTTTTCCAATCCAGTTGACTGGTGTGAGACTTCTGTGGAAAGTGATTTGTCCAAGACGTGTGTATTCCTCAAAGAATTGGATGGCTTCTTCCCTCAATTTTTCCGACAAAGGTTTGTCCCAAGTGTCGCGGGTCAAAGTTTTGCCTCCAGCTTCCTGAAATGCCTTTCTGACAAGAATGGCACCCCTCTGTTTGACAGGTGTGACAAGGCCTATTGGGTCATACAAGCTAGCTACTTGGCTCAGCAGTTCTCTTCTTGTCAGTGGGTTTGGAGTTTTCTCTCTCACCTCTTTATCAAGGAGATTTTGGCCAACTCTCATTCTATTTTTCCTCTTTGAAAAATTGATTGAAGTCATGAGATACAGTTTATCCTCTTCAACAAGGTATCCGACTCCAAGAGCTTTATTATCTCCTTCCCTCATCTGGTTTGGAAGAATAAGTACTGTGCTTGACTCCGCTCTTTGTTCTCCTGGTACAATCTCCTGCCTCCCACTTTGACTTGACCAGACCCAGGGCTTGAGGAAGAACCCACCTGCCTTCAGGATCTCCTCAACTCCTTCGATGTTCTGGCCCAGCTTTTTCAAGTCATTATGGGAAGTTAGGATGTCATCGACATAGGTATCCTCTTCAAGAATCCTACGTTCCTCTTCCAGGTGAGCGAACATGGGTAATTTGGCAGTCTCTCTCATGGCCAATTGTGCTATGCACCCTGCTGGTCGATCGCCAATGTTGACTCTGGTAATCACATACTCTTCAATCTCTTCCTCTTCAGTGTCTCTCCAGAGAAATCTGTGGAGGTGCATCTCCAGATCTTTCAACCACACAGAATTGTACATTTTCCTGATGTCACCAAGGGCAGCATGGACGCCTCTTCTGAACCTGAGTAGTACTGCTCGGATGGGATTGAGGACATCAGGCCCTTTCAGCAGAAGGTCATTCATGCTGATCCCTTTAAACTTCTGGCTGCTGTTCCATACCAGCCGCACAGGTGTTGTGAGAGAATGTGGATTTGGTGCCACCAAGTGGCTGACATACCATACTGGCCCTTTCCAGCTGGCAATGATCTCTTTAGTGAGTTTCTTCGCTGCCCTTCTCTCCACCATCTCATGGACTTGTGCGGTGTATGCTATTTTCCACTCTGGCTCTTTTTTGAGTTGTTTCTCTGTTCTCATGAAGGTGGCTTCCACTCCACTCCTGTTGTTGGGAAGGGAACTTGGATCTTGAATCCACGGGTATCTTGTGTCCCAATGTGGCTTCTCACTGTGAGAATCTGCTTTGACGTAGGTGAGGCCCTTCTTTATGACTTCTAATTCTCTTTCTTCATTTAGAGTCATCTCCTTACCTCCTGGCTGGCAATTGCCACACCGGCATCCTCCACACTTGGGCTCGCAGGCTGCTCCAATGCTGTCCCATTTCCACCAGTTTAGAAACTCTTTACTAGCTACTCTGGTTTCAGCTTTGAACTCTTGTGCTTCTGTGATCTCTTGAAACCTCACTGCCGATGCCCTCATGGATCGAGCAAAATGCGTTTCTGAATTGTGCATCGCTATATCCATCTCTTCAAAAAGATCTGGATGCGCTCCACCAACAGTCTTTCCCAGTGGGCTTTCCCATAAGACAAGGTCTCCAATCACCTTCACTCTTTGTGGAGCAAGTCTTCCCTCGCGGTGGCTTACCAGTAGCTCAATACTCTCCGGTCTCCTCAGATCTTCTAAATTGACTTCTGGGAAGAACCTCTTGAGTTGCTCAGGCTTGATGACTTTGTGGATGTTGGCAATTTCATTCAAACCATAGCAGATAAGCTCATGAGCTCTCTCCGTGCCCATAGGTATCTTGACCCTCACTTGACCCAAAGTATCTTCTAGTTTTAACATTCATGTTCATTCCTCCAACTCCATGAATAATTAAAGAAATGTTTTCACTTCGAAGATTTAATCTCCTGGCGGCTTTGTGGGTGATGTAGTTTGTATCTGATGCTAAGTCGATCAGAGTCCCAATCTTTTCTCCTGCATTAGCAGTTACCTCGAGCAGCATTAGTATAACTGGCAATTCTTTTATAGCACTTGAATCAGTCACTCCAAGCTGACTCTTCTCACCACAGTTTGTCTTC